TATATATATATAATTTTTTGAGATTTGTGTTTCATTCTTGATAAGAATGAATTGTTTGATATTTTGGGGGCAGACATTGTCATGTTTTACATCATCTTATACTCTAAAATGCTTGAGAAATGTATATTTTATCTTAATTATGCAGGGAATAGAGAGAACAAAAGTATAGGAGCAAAAAAAAAGGCAAAAATAGGCCTAATTCAAAACATTCAAATCAGCGTACCAACGTCGTTGAGATGGTGTGCTCGTGTTGACCTCATTTTTGGTGAGGTCCTGGTTTCTTTCTCCTATAACCTAGGATCTAGTCTTAGAATTTTCCTATTGACTATCCTAGAGGACTAGTAATGGAACCCACCTGACATAGAACATCAAACTACTTCTTGACTTGTGTTTGTAAAAACCTCACACGAGTGGTCCTAAGCACTCAACTCCTAGTTGTAAGAGCTAAAGACCAACATGTGGAGGGCCCAAAATTGAGTTCCCATAAAATTTAAAGAACTTAGGGAAGCCCTTCATGGCTTTGACATGCACACATCCATGTACTTCACATAACACACTCACAAACACTACAATCTACACATTCACACACAATTCACTAACTAACAAAAAGATTAAAGTCAAACAAATTAAAAACTCTCACGACACGAATTTTCACTTAAATTGGCCCGTCTATCGATGAACTTATCCAGATTACCCCTGACGATGAATGACACTCATACTACTATGGTTCCACACCCGAGCAAGTTGCACAAAAATCGATGCACAATTTTTAATGTCAAAGAAATAAGTCTTCTCATGACCTGAGCCATTGCCTTGTACAGTGGCTATAGAAGCCAAATTGAAGTAGGAAAGAGCCTAAGTTAGGATCGGGTTTGATTCGGGTAAAATCCTGGCCAATAGCACCAAATTACGCTCAATAACACCACAAATCTCCTCAAGTACACCATAAACGCTCCAATTAACACCTCCCGCACCAAAACTTACCAATACACCTGCTCTGCCTCTCAATAACACCATAAAACCATGAAAAAGATCGGCAATACATCCGTCCCGCCGATTAAAATTACGGAATAACACTGCGTTTTCTAATTAAAACTTGCCAATACACCTGTTGGCCGATTAAATTGCCGAAATAATCGTGTGGCACCGCATTTCACCAAGCGTGGCTTTTTTTTTGCGTCAATAACACCAAACGACAACTACGAATAACACACGGATAACACTGCTTTTTTCAGAACCGTGGTAACACCAAAATCCACCCGAAATACACCCACGAATGACACTGCTGCCGCAAAACTCACAATAACCCCGAAATACAACTGCGAATAACATCGTTAATAACACCAGTGTGGTTTCTTGCCAGCCCGTAATAAAAAAAATTGAATTTTAAACTAATCGCCTGATTTTGCCTTAATTGACTTTAATTAAGCGTTAGGGCCTCTAACTAAGCCCGAAACACGAATGGAAAGCTTTTAATTGCCCGCCCAATATCCCGTAATGCCTATTTTTGAGTCTTGAGCATACAAAACAGGTATAAGGGCTGGTTTAAAAAAAAAAATTAGAGAGACATAGCGAGAGCTCATCGCGGCTGTATGACAGTGGTCCCACTGTCATACCACTGTCATACAGCCGCGATATGCGGCTTTGATCGGAGAGCGCACGCAGCTCTGCATGCGCTCTCCGCACGCAATAATCGCTCTAGCGAGAGAGGTAGAGAGACCGAGGAAAAAGACACCTTTTTTTCTACAGCAACATTCTTGATTCCTTCGCTGGGATCATTCACAGTTGAACACGAATCCTCGCAGTCCAACCTCTTCTACAACTACCCAATAATGATCGAAATCTCTTGGGCTCAGGTGTAATCGCGGAACTCACTTTTTTTTGGGGTCGTTTTTGTGTATATATGATAAAAGGATTAAATACGTATTACATGAATACATTGTCACCTTATTTTTTTAAATTCTTGCAAAAGAAATAAATATTGCATGAACACATCGTCGTCTCCTTTTCTTTTCTTACACTTGGCAAAAGAAACGATTATTGCATGTTCATTTTGTCGGATCAACCTTTTATTCTTTGTTCTTTTATTTTTTCGAAAGAAACGAACACTTTGATGTACACTTAGCTATATGGATATGTGCGTTTGACTTAGATGATCGTGCTCAAACAAGCGACAATCAATTTTATTTTAAATCTACGGGGATCTCGATGTTTTTTGCAAGGATAGTTCTGGTTCAGTATATTTATTTTACTAATTTACTTGAATCTAGAAATTCATTCAATTTTTGAAAAGACAGATATTGGTGTAGAAAATTCATGAAGATAAAATAAAAATACCTTTGTGCTTAGCAAACAGGGGAGAATATTGTGACCCTAATTTTGATGATATTTGATTATTACTCTGTCCTAAATTAATTAAACCCTCCAAAACACCATTAAATCATACAAAATCAATTAGTGCTCATCTTGATTTAAAATTTTGAGGGTTTGTTAAATATGTTATTATGGATGTTTT